GATTTCTGAAGGATCATGTGACACTGAAGACTGCGGTAATGATGCTGAAAATTCTGCTTTGTAGCTGAAGAAATACATACAATTTTAAAATATATTCATATAGAAAACTGTTAATAATCTTTTACAACATCACTGTATTTTTGATTAAATAATTGCAGCCTTGGTGAGCATAAGAGACATTTCAAAAACATTCAAAAATCTTACTGGCCCTAAATTTTGAATGGTAGTGTATAAGATAATTATTTTTCCGGTTGCACATCTTTTCGAATTTGCGTAAAGCATGTAAAACTCTAGATTGGAGCTGTAGTGTAAACACTATTTCTTAAACTGAAAGCAGGCAAAAATATTTTTTTATTTCCCAAAATATTTATCTCTCTCTGTGGTCATATTAATGTAACCTACCAAAACACCTTATTGGCATATGGCATAAGGAATGCTACTCTTGCCGAGACTGTGTCTTACTATGCTAAGAGAGTATTTTGAGAATGAGAATGTGTGTGTTTGTGTGTTGGAGTTCAAACAGGTGAGAGAGTAGATCTGATGTACTTGGATGGGATTAACTAGTCTCCTCGTTTCACCTCACCCTCCGTCTGATCCAAAGTGTCTGAGCCTTGATCACTACGCCTATCTTTAATGCACTCAGCATGTGCACTCTCTCATGGTTTAACATCAATATTTCACATCTGACATCACTCAGCATTTAACAGAAAATAGAAAAAGCAACAAAAAAAGCATTTGAAACACCTTACCACAACAAAAATAAGAGAGCTCAAATTAATTGAGAAACATAGAATCTTTGAACTTTTAAAAATTGTTCTGCACACCGCAGGACCATTTAAAATAAATTAGTGAAGGTAAAAAAAGAAATAATAAATGGTGATCAAAAACAGGACTTAATTATATTTAAATGTTAAACTAAATCTAAAAAAAATTATGAATTAAAATAAATAAATGCTGAGTAGTAACAGGACCTAATTATATTTAAATGTAAACCTAAAATTTAATTAAATAAATAAGTAAATGGCAACTGGTAATGGGACCTAATTATTTAAACGTTAACCTAAAATCTGGAAACAAAAATAATAATAATATACATATTAACAATAAATATTAATTAAATAAATATCTTCAGCTGAAATAAAATGTATTAATTGATTAAAAATAAATGTAAACAAACAAATAAATGTGACTAGTAACAAGACCTAATTGACCATAAGCACGGAGCGTTCTTTGGAACTTCCGCATAAAGAGAAGCCAGCTCGTAAACTTCCGGTGAAGCCTCATTTGGTGTTGTGGTATATAGGTAGAGACTCTTGAGACCATCACAGAAACCTCTCCTGCCTCGTTCTTGTCAGAAACTAAGAAACAAAATCATTTCAACACCGTAAATAATGATAGCGGCATTAACAAACAGTTTCATGTTATTTAACAACATATCATTTTATATGCCAAGCCTGGTAATCCCGGGAGAGTACCTACCTACACACAATTGTACATTAAATGCTGACAACTAAACACAATCGTAACTGTTTAGGCTAACGTTAGCTAGCAAGCGATGCTATCTCGTAAACGGCATCATAATGGTATTCTTGATAATCGGTAACTTAGCTTCATAGTCATGAACACATTTTTAAAATGCATAATATTTTAAAGCCTTTTCTTATTTCTCAACTCTACAGCTGTGCAGTAAAAATCACTTTAAAGGGGTCATATGATGCGATTTCAAGTTTCCCTTTCTCTTTGGAGTGTTACAAGCATTCACTTCTCATTCATAAAGATGACATGAAAAAATGTGCCAAAAATGTCTCCTGGCAGAAAACAAAGACTTTTAAGATGAAATTGAAATGAACATAGCATTATAAGCAGTAAATGACAGCAGAGGATCACTCATTAGCTCAGCAACAACTCCCTAGTTTTTTCACATCTTGCTTTTGGATTTATTATGAAATGTCTATTATAACAAATTTGTTTAATCAAATTAATCATCATTATTATGCACTGAAAATTATTATTATTATTTGACTACATCTATCTTTTCTGTATTAATGAGTTTGAATTGATTTAGTTAATAAAATGACTCATGCAAGATAATCTGCCTGCTAATCTGATTTCATGCGTTGACCTACTACAGAAGTCTAGTGGCTTGGATTGATACAAAAGCATTTTATAAACAAGTCATTTTATAGCTTCCAGCTGAAGCCCCTTGCTGACACCACAAGTGTGAGATCAGTCTAGTCTAGGTGCTTTTTTTAGCCTGATTTCTTCCCAGATCTTCTTACTACATGACAAAGACTGCATCCTCTATTTAGAGCCGTGCAGAAAAGATTAGAGTGGAAGGAAGTATACAGAACCGAGACGAGCTCGAAATAAACTATAATTCTAACAATCAGGATTAATGGCTGAGCTTTGCTGCATGTTTGTGTTGACAGGAAGCTGCAGGGGAAAAGGAGAGAGGAAGAAGTTGTGCAAAGGTGCTGAGAACACATTCAAAACGGAGTTGAAAATAAAGAAAACCATAAGAAGTCTATTTAGGTCTAAAACAATTCATATACATCCCAGTCGAGGTTTATTTTAGGATGGCATATCAGGAAGATAGTCTGTCACTCAAAAAACGGACATCAACATCTCACTTCTTGTTTCATTTGCAGCCTCTGATCAACATCACACGACTTATCTATTTACACTTGTCTATATATTAGAATGCTGAACGTACAAAATGAGGTATTTAATAAATTAAGGATTTATTGATTTTACATATAGGCTACTCATAAATCTAATTGTAAAATTAATATCCTGCTTTTCCATAGATAACAAGCAGGAAATCCTGTGGTCTTCTTTTAGGTAACTGTAATGAAAACAAACAAGAATCACTACAAATTCTAAAATAAACGTAATTGTATGTAATATTAGCCTTTGCATAGTCTTTGTGTAAAGCTATATAATCTATATCACATATATAACATATCTGCAATGACATTTAAAGGGGTCATATGATGCTGCAAAAAAGAACATTATTTGGTGTATTTGGTGTAATGAAATGTGTTTATGCGCTTTAAAGTAAAAAAAACACATTATTTTCCACATACTGTACATTATTGTTTCTCCTCTATGCCCCGCCTTTTTGAAACGTGCCGATTTTTACAAAGCTCATCGGTCTGAAAAAGTGAGGTGTGCTGTGATTGGCCAGCTATCCAGTGTGTTGTGATTGGCCGAATTCCTCAAGCGTGAGACGGAAATGTAACACCCCTCACATACTGTTGATGCCGCATCCCGGCCGGAGCGACGAGACAAAAACATGAAAACCCATTACAAACGAGGCATTTGTTGCATCCAGTGGGGACATAATTACTGATTATAATGACTTATACTGTCTTTTTACACGTTGCGTTGCATTGCGCCGCATAAACATAAAACCCTGTCTGCATTTGTGATCAGAGAAATGACAAACAACAAGTGCAACTCTACACTGCTCAAAACTCACGTTTGAATCATCAGTGGCAAATCCTTTAAATGAAAACGTACTTACGTGAGTCAGAACTGCCGGCATTTTAGTCTAACGTTACTCTCCCAGGATCAGTAAACAGTCCTTCATAAAATGTGCTGCACACATCTGGACATTTGGGTTAAACTGTTCTAGAACAGTGTTGTAAATACAACTTAACCACTGATTTCTAGTTTGGAAGGCCAAACAAAGTAGTTTCGCTTTCACAACGAAGCACACAGCGTCTTTACGACATTGCGGCAGAAACAACAATACTACAGCGAGAATAAAAGTTGCGCCTTCTTTCTTTGCGTGAACATTTGGGCGGCGTTATGCAAATCTTCCCACATAGTGAGGTAGACATGTGGGGGCGTGTTAGAACGAGCCGTTTTAGGTAGGTGTGGCTGACTCTGAACTTTTATAAAGAATATCTCTTTGGATTTGAGACTTTAGTCATTGCAACTTTACAGATCTTCTTTATGCACCAAGAGCTTGTAACAGTCCAAAGAGAAAGGAAAACTTGAAATCGCATCATATGACCCCTTTAAAATATTGGTACTGTCAGAATATTTCTGATTATAGAGGTCTAACAATACGTTTTATTGGCTGATTTATAAACAAGACTGACCAGTATAAATATTTGACTGCAAGTACCAATGTTGATTTTTTTTCATCACCAATAAAGATAAGCAAAACTGATATTTTTTGCTTTCCGACTCCATTATAAATGGCTAAATCACTGACTAGACGACAACAAAAACCTAATATGCATTATGAATATTTGATCAAGAACAACAATAATGAATTGTGACAAATGAACTATCAAAAGTGCAAATATTCCATCTAGTCACACAGTTTATTTGAAAGCATAAAACCTACATGCACAATAACTATAACACAATCCGAGGTGGAGTTTAGTCACACTAGTACAGTTTAAACTGAATGGCTATTTTGTATCTTTAGAGCTAACAATTAGCATTTCACCTTTGTGATTTGAAAGCTGACATAATCTGTATCAAGTCTATATACATTCAAAAAGTTTAATTTTGCGGATAATTTTATTCTGCCAAGTGTCAGTGTGGTAAAACAATAGACCTGAATGAAATAATATTCGATGCTTTTTGTATTTGATTTCAAGCAAAATGTTAATTATAATATCAACTGTCCATAATTAACACTTGGCTCCTATATTTCTATATCATTTTATCAACTGTCCATAATTAACACTTGGATCCTATATTTCTATATCATTTACAGACAAGGCTGTCAATCGACCGATAACGAGCACTTCAAACTGGCAAAATATCAGCAGATTTATGCATATTTCTTAATATGTTCTATCATTTGTGGCACTTTTTTGTGAAGTAGGCTACGTGCTGAAGAACAATGAAAGCACACAAAAAGAGTGAGAATGGGTGGAGACTGGTACACTTTTCCTCTCGTGCGCCGCTGCTCGCGAAATCAAACATTTAGAACGTAAGTCGCAGCATTGTAACATTATTGTATCATTTCGTCTCACCTCTCTGAGCTGATCCAGTTCTTGTCTGGCGGTCTCATGTGCGTTCTCCAGATCATCAAAGCGTTGTTTCAGCTGCTGGTTCTCCTCCAGCACCACGAGCCCGTACTCCGCCGCCTGGATCTTCTCCCGGCTCGTCTCGCTCAGCTCCCGCGTCAGGCGCTCGATCTCCGCGCGGAGCCAGTTGGGCCCGGCCTCCGTGACCAGCTGCGCCTCGGGACACCCGTCCTCCTCCCCGGACATGTTTGCCATCATCCGGCACAGTCTAATACAGGCGATAACGGACCGAGTCCGTTAGTTCCTCATTCTCAACCATGAAGTTGCTCATCAATCTGAAGAAGTGCATGCAGTTTATTAGATGCACTATTCTTAATATTAAAGTTCAGATTCAATCTTATAAATTTATTCCCCATGATTTAACGTATAACTCCATGATTTCCTCTTGTTCGGATGTCATTCCTCAGATTGGGAACTCGGTTTGTGAGCTCATCCAGACGAAGTGATTTTGTCGTTCCTGTTTGGTGGATAATGTAGTTCCATTCACATATGCATGCGTTGTATTAGGGCTGGTGCTAGACTACAAGACCCATAATGCTTTGTGTTTTGTACACGAAGGCAGCACAGATGGTTCGCCGACTGGATGCCAAATTCAACCCAAAATGTTGCTCAATGCTTCCATCTGCTGATGGTAATATTTCAGGCCGTGCGAACTGCGAAGTAGATGTAAGGTCCTCCAGTTTCTGAGTTTTTGATATCAGGGACTCCTTTTCTTAAATATATAGTGGATATAGTCTATGTATAAAGACCTATTTATACTTTGTGTGAAAAAAAAGTAATTAAAAAGTGTGGAAAGAATAAGCGTAATATTGTCAAAATAATATTACAAAGACAACACATTTGTTAAATTAAATAATTTATATATTAACACAGTCATTGCATTGAACCCAAAATAAATTCTTAGAATATTATCTGGAAAATATTTACTTATTTTTGCGTGTGTGTATATAGCTATTATTATCAGAGGACACGTGAGCATAACGGTTAGCAGATCAATGAATGAGAGGGCAGCATTACTAGAGTTGTCCATTTACCACACCTTGTTACAACACAGTAGGGCTATTACAAACAGAAACAATACTGTACTACATAGATGTTTCCTGTCAGCTCGATTTCTGAGTGGACTTGGACTTGATTTCGGGCTGTTCCGATGAGCATGAACGGTATATGAATGGAGAACTCACATGGGCCGTGAGCAACTGAGTGGAGCACACACGTGCATAGAGCGGGATAATACATAGAGTGTCACACCACGTGAAAGTGAATCCTGAGCGGTGAACTAATTTTCGGCAGCCGGAATTTCAGTGCATCTCTAATTATTGGCGACATTAGAAATGGATATTATATAATAGCTGCTTTTTTGAACATTTTAGCAATTTAAAAATAGATTTTTTACACGGCACCCCTGCTCTCGACAGACGCGGCACCCCAGTTGGGAAACACTGTTCTAAATAATGCCTCGAGTGGGGCTTGAGGAAGTGACGTCGCCTGCGTCTGCGCAGTGCGACCTGATGCAGCCCCTGAAGTGAGACACAGGAAACAGAAATACTGCAAAATAATAATAATAACGCGACTAAACGAGATGAAATAACGTTATAACATTTAGTTTCGTCTCGTTTTTGTTCAAAAAAAAAAAAAAAAAATTTTTTATAATTTTTTTTTTTTTTTTATTATTGTTGGTACATTTTTATACTTTTTACAATTTATTTAAACTTTCTGTATAGTCTATCCTCACACCCTCATGGAGCCAATCTGAAAACCCCTGCTCAACACCTGAAACTCAATTGTCTATCATTGTGTTTTCAGTTGACTATGCTTTATTCTGCTTTTCTGCAGTTTCCTTCCACGTTGCCACCACAATTGCATGTAAAACAGAAAGTATTTAATTAAAGAGCATTCAAACCACATAACTGGTTTTGCTCATCAATCTGAAAGTGAAATATATTTTCTTCATGCCAACTCATCACTACTATCCGCCATGGTTAATGACTGACACACTTGAATCGAAAGAAGAAGTAACAGAATGAGCGTTTAATGTATCCAAGCTGAACTATCATCCCAATGGTGAGTTCTTATTTAGCTTTCTCTCATACTCTCTAAGAAAGACGTAATACTGAATGATGTCAATACTGCATATTCAGTTACTGTACAATTCTTTCTTTAGGGTGCTTTGGATGTTTACAACCATTGTAAGTTTGCCAGATCAGATTTTAAATCGAAACTGAAAGTTGTAGAGTATTTATTTATTTCTACTTTGCCTACAGATAAATTTTACCATTTTTTCTCTATCTGCTTTGGCCTGGGCTGTGGACTATTACTCTACAGGCCATTTTACTGTAAGTATATACTATGTATATATATATATATATATATATATATATATAAGCCTACTATGAACAGCACTGGTTCTTCAGACTTTAGTGAATGATGTGGCTTACTGAAACTATTATTTATGTTCATTCTTATCTGAATTTTATCCATAAACTCTTACACATGAAAAAAAAACACACTTTCAAAAATTGTTTGAAGTTTATTTAATGACAAAAAAAAATGTTTTTTAAGTACCTCTATTCTATACACATGACCAATCAATCTTTGAGTCAGTCACTTATCAGCATGCATGTTTTCCAGCCGTTGTGGTGCCGTCAGTTCTTGCTGTGTTCTTCACAGTCGTTTTTGAATGTGTGGGTGCATGCTTTGGTAAGATGTTGTATTAAAACTTATGGTATAAAATGAATCAGAAAATGTCAAATGTAGCAAATATAAATGCACAACAGAGAATAGAAGCCATTAAAATGACATGTATGTTGAAAATGTATTGGAACAGGATTTGATGAACATTTAACGTTTTTCACAGGTTTGCCAGCACATACTAAAAGATGTAAGGGTCGACCTTACCACTGGAAAGGTATATCATTTTATTGTGTTCAGACGGGTTGCCCATTCTTCCAGGCCATTTGATAAACATGAAAACTGGTTTATTATTAAAGATCGATTTTTTTCTACAGATGCTATCTGGGGTTATTGTATGGCTTTCTTTGTGACAGTCCTCCATCTCAGGTCTTATCATGGTACAGTGTTAACCTCAACTTCCTAAGAGAGACATCACAAGGCTTCTTTGTTGCACTTCTTCTCAGCTCTTTTTTTTTCAAGCACAAACTGAAGCTCTTCTAGGTGGTGCTCCTCATATGTGTTGGGATATATTTAATAAATTCAGTAAATACGATACTGTTCAAAAGTTTGGGGTCAGAATTTTTTTTAATATACAAAATTACTACTTTAGTCAAAGATGCATTAAATTGAATTAAAGTGAGTGGCAGTAAAGACATCTATGATATTTCAAAAGATTTCTATTCTAAATCAATGCTGTTCTTTTGAACTTTCTATTCATCAAAGAATCCTGAAAAAAATGTATCACAGTGTCCACAAAAATATGAAGCAGCACAACTGTTTTCAGCACTGATAATATGTTTCTTGAGCGGCAAATCAGCATATTAATCTGTCGCGCATAAGAGACTTCTTTCAAAAACATTTTAAAAATCTTACTGACCCCAAGCTTTTGAACAGTATATACTGTATATATGATGCAATAATCCAAGTTTTCTGATTCTGTTGCAGTCTATACTCTGTCTTGTGGCTGTGGCCTCGCTGTGTTTGCTATAAGAGGAGCAATACGCAAATATAATTCTCTATGGTGAGAACTTTTTCTTTTATATAATTAAACTGCAGGGATTCATGATGTGTGGCACTGAAGTAGATTATTTTCTAAGGACACCCTGGAAAGACTAGTTGTTCCTGTTTTTTAAACAGGAAGATTAGAAATGCAAGGCATTACTATGACTGAACTGAAATTAATGTTCACTAAAGGTAAGAAAGAAAAAATTTTACATTTTTTTATTTTTATACTGCAATTGTGATCATTGTCGATGTCTTTTGCAGGTGTCCATTTATGTTCATGCACATTTCTTTTTTAAGTTTGTAAAGCGCTATTCACATACATATTGTTTCAAGGGAGCTTTATATCAAAGCAAATTGTCATGTTAATTCAATGTGATCTGATTTCATTTAGCACATTTCACATCTGTTGCAAAAACTGTGATTTAATATTGTTTTATTATTTGTTACCTTTTGTATTTTGCTGTTTTGTGGTTTTTATTAATAGTTATTCTACTGGTTTTTCGAAGTTGTAAATAAAACAAAGAATATTAGAGTGTTTAGAGATTTCTCTAAAAATATTTCTCGGGTCTAAAATAATAATCTCACAATTAATTCAATGCCTTTCTTTGTCATTCATTTTGAAATGTACTAGTAATTTCTGAGTGAAAATTGTTTCTACACCATTTTTCGGTGTATAATACATTCTATGTAAATGTTGTTTGTTTTTGCTTAAAATTAAAACAATAGTTTAGTATTGTATTTCATCTTACAAACAAATGAATTATTCTTATTTGTTTAAATATACAACAGTTTCTCTTTACAACATACAGTGTGACAACATGCCCCAATAGTGGCAAGTATATGTTTTAAATGACCTGTTCAGTAATAACGGCAAGTGACTTTAAAAAAATAAACCCACTCTGAAAAATATTCAGTAAAGTGTGTGACAACTAGCCCCGGTCTCCCCTATTAGAGTGAATAAAACAGGCAACACAAACATGATGTCTCAAATTCAAATGCAGAGGGTTTTAATCAATGACTTGTTGAGTTACAACGAAAAATAACAGAGGAAGTGTTTGTTGTAGGTTCATAGTTCAGGTCTAACAGCACGTTCCAGTGACACTGATGGTTTCATCCATCTCTCTCATCTTCTCTGGCCAGAAAAGAACCATGTTTCATGCTCATAACACTACAAAATGCTACTCCATCTTTGTAAATACTGAGATTATACTACAAACAGTTTCACAGAAGACAACCATTTACTACTTTACTGAAGCACCCTGCAGACATTCTCATTTGATTATCGGTTTAAAGACTAAACTCTACGAATGTAACATCAAATCGTTTTTTTTTTTTTTGCACAGGTAGGCCTATCTGTTCCCGTGAAATCCAGCCCCGCCCGGTCGTCATAGCAAAACAGTAACAATATAAAAAGTATTAAAATATAATGTCACAAACAGTTTTATTGTTGGGTCTTATCAAATGACAGTTAAAAACACGAGTGTCACGTTGTACAGCATATCGATGTTTTCTGAGGTGATAGTGTAAATACGTTTTAGCGTCGCTATAAGCTTTCAACTTTAATTTTCAAATCAACATAAAATCATACATTTGTCTTTTCATAATCTAATTAATACCAGGTGGACAAAATCAAGTCCCTGCCTATAAATTTTCATCCTGTTTCATTCAAAATATGTCACTTTATGCAAGTAAAAATGGTTGTAAATATGGTTTAATGTTGATTTTACACTATTAGTACAAGAAAAGAGCTAGAAAAAGACTACTGTATGTGTATTTGTATGTACACTAGCATTCAAAAGTCTGAGGTCGGTAAAATTTATAAAATATTTTTGAAAGAAGTCTCTTCTGCTCACTAAGG